ACACATGTGGTAGTACGTATAGATGCGCACACGTGCATAAAAATGCACCCACATGCATATGTCCGCCACCGTGCCGCTGGGCATGGGCGGGCGGGTCCTCAGGTCCTTTGTCCAGTCCCTTAAGCCTCAGCCTTTGCGTCAACTGAGCCTTAAGAGGCCCGGAGTCCAGATTGCCAAATCTCCCTGGGCTTGGCGCGGCTTGACGCGGCTTGTCTTTTGCCTTTTTCGGAACCAATAGGGCCCCAAGACGGGCCAAGAGGCCCTCAAGAGGCCCCCAAGACGATCCCAGAGGGCCCCGAAACGCCCAAAGATCGCACCAAGACGCCCAAGATGGTCCCAAGATGACGCAAGATGCCTCCGAGACGCCCCCAAAACGCCCCAAGAGCCTTCCCAAGAGGGTCCCAGGAGGGCAAGATCATTGCTTTTGCTGAGGTGTTTCAATGACTTTTGGGTCCTCTGCTATTCGAGCTCCCGACGCTCCAAGACGGCCCAAGAGCCCCCCAGGGCCGCCCCAAGACGGCCCAAAGGCCCCCAAAAGGGCCCCAACACGGCCCAAGAGGGCTCCAAGATGGCCCTAGAGGCGCTCAAGACGTCCCAAGAGGGCCCGAAGACATCCCCAAGAATGGCCCAAGAGGGGGAACAGGAACCGAAAATCTATGACTTCTGCCCCAAGAAGCTTCCAGGAGGCCCTAAGGAGGCCCCAAGGGCCCCCAAGAGGCCCCAAGAGACCCAAGAGGCTCCGAAAACGCCCCAAGAGGCTTCGAAACAGCCCCCAAGAGGCCCCCGAGAAGCCTTCTGCGACGTCCCAATGATCACCCGAGAGGCAGATGATCCACAACCCAGGCACGGCGGCGGGATGGGCCGAAGGCCATGAGATCCGCCGCCCCCTGTGGTCCTGCCACAGGGGTGCACGGCGTGCTGGACGAGTCAGGTTTTGGTTTTGGTTCTTTTTCTAAAAGAACTCCCCAGTGGGCTTCGGCCCGTCCCGCCGGCCACCCGCAAGTTTCCGAAAATCCGCCTGTCAATGCCTTTGTTGCCCCAACTTGGCCCAAGATGGCCTCCAAGACGGCCAAGATGGCCCAAGATGGCCTCCAAGATGCTTCCAAGACGGCCAAGATGGCCTCCAAAACGGGTAAGATGGCTCCAAGATGCACCCAAGACGGCCCAAGATGGCCTCAAGATGGTCTAAGACGGCCCAAAAGGCCCGCAAAAGGCCTCCAAGACGGCCCAAGAGCCCTCCAAGACGCCCTCCAGGAAGGCCCGAATAGGTTAAAATCATTGATTTTCCTTAGGTTTTTCAAGGATTTTGGCATGTTCTTCTTTTCAGCTCTCCGACGGCCCAAGACGGCCCAAGAGGTCCCCAACATCGCCCCAACAGCACCCAAGAGGCCTCCAAGATGGCCCCATGACGGCCCAAGAGGCCCCCAAGAAGGCCCCAAGAGGGCCTCAAGACGGCCCAAGAGGCCTCCAAGACGCCCAAGATGGCCTCCAAGACGGCCAAGATGGCCCAAGATGGCCTCCAAGATGCCTCCAAGACGGCCAAGATGGCCTCCAAACGGGTAAGATGGCTCCAAGATGCACCCAAGACGGCCCAAGATGGCCTCAAGATGGTCTAAGACGGCCCAAAAGGCCCGCAAAAGGCCTCCAAGACGGCCCAAGAGCCCTCCAAGACGCCCTCCAGGAAGGCCCGAATAGGTTAAAATTATCCCGGCAAAGCAACCTAACAGCGATGTGTAGAAGCATATCTGAAAGCATTCCCCTTAAGATTCAGACGAAACAGTCGGCAGTCGCAGTCACAGTCAGCCTCATCTCCTGCTCCTCCTCCTCCTCCTCCTCCTCTCCTCTTCCTCCTCGTCCTCGTTCTCGTCCTCCTCGTCTTGCTCGTCCTCCTCCTCCTGGTGCTCTCTCCTCATCCTCCTCCTCCTCCTCCTCCTCCCTCCTCCTCCTCCTCATCCTCCTGGTGGTCCTCGTTCTCCTCCTCCTGGTGCTCTCCCCCCCCCTCCTCCTCCTCGTCCTCCTCCTCCTCCTCCTCCTCCTCCTCCTTCCTCCTCCTCCTCCTCCTCCTCCTCCTCCTCCTGGTAGTCCTCCCCCTCCCCTCCTCCTCCTCCTCCTCCTCCTCTTCCTGGTCGTCCTCGTTCTCGTCCTCCTCGTCTTGCTCGTCCTCCTCCTCCTGGTGTCCTCCTCCTCCTCCTCCTCCTCCTCCTCCTCCTCCTCCTCCTCCTGGTGGTCCTCGTTCTCCTCCTCCTGGTACTCTCCCCCCCCCCTCCTCCTCCTCCTCCTCGTCCTCGTCCTCCTCCTCCTCCTCCTCCTCCTCTCCTCCTCCTCCTCCTCCTCCTCCTCCTCCTCCTCCTCCTCCTCCTGGTACTCCTCCCCCTCCCCTCCTCCTCCTCCTCCTCCTCCTCTTCCTGGTCGTCCTCCTCCTCCTGGTCGTCCTCCTCCTCCTGCTCGTCCTCCTCCTCCTCCTGCTCGTCCTTCTTCTCCTGCTCCTCCTGCTCCTCGTCCTGCTCCTGCTCGTCCTCGTCCTCCTGGTCTTGCTCGTCCTCCTCCTCGTCGTGCTCTTGCCCCTGCTGAAAATGTGGCCCAGGAATGGGAGTTCTGGGAAGTCGAAGAGCACGAAGTTGCCTACAGTTGGCTACGGGCATTCAAAATGTGGCCCGGGAATGGAGTTCTGGGAACTCGAAGAGCACGAAGTGGCCTACAGTTGGCTCCGGGCATTCAAAATGTGGCCCGGGAATGGAGTTCTGGGAACTCGAAGAAGCACGAAGTGGCCTACAGTTGGCTCCGGGCATTCAAAATGTGGCCCGGGAATGGAGTTCTGGGAATAGAAGAGCACGAAGTGGCCTACAGTTGGCTCCGGGCATCCAAAATGTGGCCCGGGAATGGAGTTCTGGGAAGTCGAAGAGCACGAAGTGTGTGACTGTTGCATCCGGCCCTCCAGAATGTGGCCCGGGAATGGAGTTCTGGGAACTCGAAGAGCACGAAGTGTGTGACTGTTGCATCCGGTTATTCTAAAGGTGGCCCGGGAATGGCGTTCTGGGATCTCGAAGAGCACGAAGTGTGTGACTGTTGCATCCGGTTATTCAGAATGAGCCTGGGAATGGAGTTCTGGGAAGTCGAAGAGCACGAAGTGTGTGACTGTTGGTGAAAAACGAGTTCGGCACAGGCCCGCCCGGCAACTCCCAACACCTGCCCGGACCCCCCTGTGGAGTGATCTGTGACCTCTTTTGACACTACTAGAAACCTATCAGTCTTCGATGTTAGGTAATCATTGATTTTCCTAAGGTTTTTGAAGGATTTTGGCATGTTCTTCTTTTCAGCTCTCCGACGGCCCCAGACGGCCCATGAGGTCCCCAACATCGCCCCAACAGCACCCAAGAGGCCTCCAAGATGGCCCCATGACGGCCCAAGAGGCCCCCAAGAAGGCCCCAAGAGGGCCTCAAGACGGCCCAAGAGGCCTCCAAGACGCCCAAGATGGCCTCCAAGACGGCCAAGATGGCCCAAGATGGCCTCCAAGATGCCTCCAAGACGGCCAAAATGGCCTCCAAGACGGGTAAGATGGCTCCAAGATGCACCCAAGACGGCCCAAGATGGCCTCAAGATGGTGTTCCCCGAAGGCTGTAAAGACCGATTCGGGGAACATATGGCCCAATAACTTGGCAGACCTCTGGCCACAGCAGTCGGCCGCATCGGCGCTTCCGAAAGGGCAGGGGGCGGCGGTGATTCGCCGTAGGCGTCTTCGATAGTGTATGTACATGTGGCCGATTCCAGAAACCCTGAACCCAAAAATCTGTTCATCTCTTGGGGTGAAATGTTTACTTCCGCCACCTTCCGCCGCCCTTCCGCCAGCGTCCGCCGCGGAAGAGATGACAACCCCTTCTATCCTCGCAGACAAGGCCCTTCCTGGAACGCCCCATGCATGTTACAGAGCGCCGCCGGAAACGGAGGGCTGGCGAAAGGACAGGTTGAGGAAGCTCGAACCAGATGCACGAAGAGGAAAGGTGAGTGTGACCCCGCTGCGGAAGAGAGACTGCGACAGACATACTTTGCTTGCTGGGCGGGGGCGGCGGCAAGCCAGAACCGGGCCAAGGGGGTCAGGATGATAGACGCACACACACACATACACAAAGAAGGGGAATACAAACATATATATATATATATACACTTATACATAGGAAGAATGAGAGAGATAGAGAGCAAGGGAGAGACAGAGAAAGAGAGAGAGAGAGAGTACACACACGACACAAATGAATACAGAGAGAGAGTGATGGAGAAAAAGACACAACACAGAGAAATACATAGAGATACTAAAATAGACGATCGTATACTGTTCGTGTAGAGACGACAATACATGAGAGCAAAGAGGAGAGAGAGAGAGAGAGAGAGGGAGGGCATCTATGCAACCCATAACAAGAAATATAATGGAATAGATCGAGTGAGGAAGAGGAAGAGGCAGAGACAGAGAGGAAGAGAGCACAAACGAGAGAGAGAGAGAGGGAGGCAGGGAGCGAGGGAGTGAGGGAGAGGGGGATGGAGAGAGAGGGGAGAGAGAGAGAGAGGGGCAGAGCGAGAGAGAACACGCACAAACGCAACAACAAAAAAACGACGCCACAGAGGCCGGAAGGCGCAGGGAGATCCAGGTGACACTGGCCATGCGAGCCCCTCGGAATCGCTTCCTGGCGCTTCCTAGCTCTGCTGTGTGTGTGTTTTGTGTGTGCTTTGTTTGGTTGTTGTTTTGTTTTTTGTGTTGTTTTGTTGTTTGCTTGTTTTGTTTGTGTGTTGTGTTGTTTGTTTTCTTGTGTGTTGTTATTGTTGTGTTTTGTGTGTGTGTTGTTTGTTTGGTTTGTTTGTTGTTGTGTTTTCGTTTTTTGTTAGTTGTGTGTGTGTGTTGTGTTTTTGTTTTTTTGTGTGTTGATTTTTTTCCCACAGGCTCTGCTGACACTCGCTCTCTCATCGCTGCACTCGGGGTGCCCCATCGGCACCCCCCGCGGGGCCCGGATCGCCTCCACCTTCCCCGCCAGGCCGGCGAACGACTTGTCAAGCAGCTCGGTCTTCGTTTCCTCGAGCCACTCCTGCACCTGCGCCCAGGCGTCTTCGGAGCGACGGAGCGACGACCCAGGCGAGATAAGAGCCCCCCTCTTTCCGAGGGCGGGCAGGAAGAGGGAGAGCGAGATCGGGAGTCGAACTCGTCTCATCGAGCCACTCCTGCACCTGCGCCCGATGGCTTTTGGAACAATAGCCCGGGCTTGAGATGAAAGGCCCCCCTTTACTTGATGGCAGGAGGGGGAAGAGAACGGCAGTCGAGCTCATCGTCAGTGGCCACGCTCTTCGTCTCCTCGGGCCATCCCTGCATCTGCGCCCAGGCGTGCATCGGAGCAACGGCCTGGGCGAGAGAAGAGGGCCACCCCCCTTGCGATGGTGGGCAGGAGGAGGAGGAGGAGGAGGAGGAGGAGGGCGAGCGAGAATGGGAGTCGCGCTGAACATCAGGGCCACGCAACCGCGGTGCAAAGCTGAAACGTTGTGGGTCGCAGGGCTTGCCGAACATGATCATCGCCAGCAGGATTTCAGCACCATCAGGGATGGGCCTGAATTCTGCGAGTTCGGAATCCGCAAACCCAGCGGACTACCTCCATGATTTCACATTCTGTTGTGGATCTGGAGGAGGGTGGAAAAGGGGAGTCAAAAAACGTGGAAAAGGAGCATGTGGACGAGGAGGACGAGGGGAAGATGGATGAGAAGGGGAGGGGGAACACCAGGAGGCCCCAGGAAGGCCATGGGGAGTCAGGTGCCCAGAGGCCCAAGGAGCAGCAACGGGAGGGGGGGAATCAAGGAATGAGGAGGAGCAGCAACAGGAGGGGGGGAGGCCGAGGACTGGGAGAAAGGGGGTGAGGAGGAGGAGGAGGAGGAGAAGGAGGAAGAAAAGGAGATTTCCAGCAGTTTCTTTGCTCTCGTGGATAGGAGGAAGCGAAGGAGGTAGAAGAGAAGATACGTAGGAGGAGAAGGAGGAGGATGACGAGGAGGAGGACCAGTGCAAACCGAAAATCACCAACGACGTTGGAATAAACCATCCCCCAAGTTCTTTTTTTTCCATAGGCCCCTAGAACGGCTCATTTCCACTGACGAAGAAATTGCCTCGTTGGAAGACAACCGTTGGAAGACCCTGTGCCAAAACATTGTTCTCTGGATGCCAACGCCACGGATCAACCGGACTGTTGCGTTTTGACAATCCTGAACCGTACCAGAAAGCCATTCCTGGAAGTTCAACACCGCGAATCAACGTAACTGTTGCGCCCTCATAATTTAGAATATGTCCACAGCGCCACTTCTAGTACGATGATGATGGGAGCCCATGACTCTCTTGCAACTGTTCAAAACGAATGCGCGCGGCGCTTAGGCGAGAGCCACATTCCGAAAACCACCCGCCCTCAATCAGTGAAGCTCCTGCGAAGTTTTACAACGAATGTGCGCGGCGCTTCAGCGAAAACCACACTTTTTCACCACCCGCCCTCGATCCATGAAGCTCTTGCATCTGTTTAAACAAATTCGCGCGGCGCTAAAACGAGAGCCACATCTTAAAAAACGACCCGCCCTCCAGATATGAAAGTGATGACTTTTTAGCTTCAGGGACATACATGGTGAGGAAGTCTCAGGCGAAACGCCCGGCCCGCCCTAAAAACGTGCTTCGGGGTGCACCAGGGGGAAAGTATTTCGGGCGTAGCCCGAATTTGTTGCTCGCGAGGTAAACTGAACTGAACTGACTGGTCACACCTGTTACCCGACGGTTCTATTCTCGACCGCCGAGGGCGCAACCTATGGCGCAACCGATGGGAGACGGTTTGATTCTCGGCCGCCGAGGCGCAACCTATGGCGCAACCGATCGGAGACGGTTCTATTCTCGGCCGCCGAGATTTCCGTAGCAATTTTGGCTCAAGGCGACGCCTTCCCCTGGGAAGGAAGCGGATACCGCTAGTCCGCGGCTAGCCCCGCAAGCTTTCGCTGGGCCACATAAGCTCAGCTCACTCGCGTTGCTGCTTCTCGCGTGGATACGGTTCTGGTCTCGGCCATGGCAGAATACTGCAAGTGCGGTTGCGGCGAGTGCAATACCAAGGGGCGCAAGTCATGCGGAGGTTGTGGACAAGATCGGGCGCCTTGTCAGCGCCGGCGCGTCGGCGGGCCGAAAGGAGCCGACAGCAGCTGGGCCAAGGAGCCGTGGCAGCGCGGAAGGAAGCAACGGCCTAAGCTGGGCAATGCTTAGCAGTCGCCCGCTGGGGCCACGCTCATTGCGGAGGAGATCCAGACCTGGGCTGACCTCCCGATCGAAACCTACGAGAAGACGCAAGGGGCCCTCTCGCACTCCTCGCGCAGCAAGGTGGACAATGCCAGACGTGCTGCGGCTGTTGGTGTGCTTGGAGCTGCTGGTCGCGAAGCCCCGCAGGCTGCGGACAAGGCTGCCAGAGCGCTGCAAGCAGCGCGCGACAAGCTCGCCACCAACAGGGAGAGGGCGCTCAAGCTGCTGGCAACCATCTCCGAACAGGAAGGCGAGGTCACCAAGCTGGAGAAGGAGCTGGAGACGGCGAAGCAGGAGGCAGCCAAGCTCTACGGCGTTAAGCAAGACCCAGGTGGCATCGACGGCAAGAAGCTCAAGGACAACATTGGGTCGCTGGCGGTCGACAACCTCTCAGCCGCCGACGTCATCAAGGCCATCCCCACTGCGGTCGACAAGCTGGACTCCGACGCAGAGGCCACCACGCAGCCCGCGCAGGCTGCAGCAGCGGTCGGAGGCGAAGGAGCCCCTTCACGCGATCCTGGACGAGGAGGAGCCAACGGCGGATACGCAGAAGCTGCAGAAGCAGCTGCACGTGACGCTGGCGCCAAGGAGCCGTCCTCGGAGGAGGCATTCGACGCGCTCATGGCCCACGAAGATCCTGGCGGCCTGCTGGACGCTTGCGACGATGAGGGGGAGCGGAAACGAATTGCCGAAGCGCTGGGCACCCTCAGAGCATGCAAGATGCCCAAGACGGACAAGCCACGGGATTAGCTCGCGCAGGCGGCGGTGGTGGAACGCCTCGACCATCAACGCCAACGCCTACAGCAGATTTGAAGCATTGCTCCAGTACAATAGCACCCTCAACATGGACATCATCAACGTGCAGGAGACCCACCTCAGCGAGGAGCGCTGCAAGGAGGTCTCCGACAAGCTCAAGCGCGACGGCTGGCATGCTCTGGACAGCGCCGCGGTCGGGACCGCCCAAGGACGGTCAGGACATGGAGGGCTGCTGCAGCTTGCTCCCCGCGTGCACGGGCTCGGTGTCTTCGAGCCGCTCAATGAGTTCAGCATCCTCCCAGTGCGCGCCAGGCGTGGCGCATTTCGCGAGAGTGGCCCCTGGCGGGGTCACGTGGATCAACATCTGCCTCAGGGTGAACGAGGGTATGTCCGAATTCAGATCCTGGAGGTCATCTACGGGGCGGCCAAGCTGATTGGCAAGCCCACCGTGATCGGAGGCGACTTCGACATGGAGCCGCAGCAGCTAGCCCAGTCGGGCATCTTAGACGCGCTCAGCCTGAGGGTGGTGGCGCCAGACGAGGGTACATGCCGCCCTGGGGGGCACATCATCGACTACTGGTTGATCAGCGAGTGTTTCGGACAAGCCAGAGCAAAGGACCTGCATGGCTGGGGCGCCGCCCCGCACTTCCCTGTCAAGCTCGAGATCGACGGTGGCACCATCGAGAAACACATGCCGGTCATGGATTGTCCCAAGCGCTTCCCTGCCCCTGTGCCTCGGGCGCGCTGCACTACCGAGCGCGGCACAGGGTGGACTGCGACGCGAGAGGCCATGGAGGCCACCAGCTCCATCGACGGCAAGTGGAAGGTCTTCGTCTGCCAGGCGGAGTGGAACAAAGCTGATGTGCTCGGCCTGTCTCACGAGTTTGAGCTATACTCTGGGCGCGCCTGCAGGCCACGCCTCAAGATGGCGAAGGTCACGATGCCAAGCCCGCAGCGGCTGCCGCGGGTCAGTGCTGGCACCATGCGGCTCAGGAGCATGGCGCTAGCCCTCAAGGACACTGCGCAGATCGGGCTCGCGTTTCGGCGGCAGCGGGCCCTCCGTGCCATCGAGAAGCTCAACTTGCAGTGCGCTTATTTCACCAGCGACACCTTCCAAGGGCGAGAGCAGCTCACGCAGAAGGTCAGCCTCTTCGCAGCCCACCCCCAGCACCTGGACTTGCACTCCTTGCACGCTGTCAGCGCCGACGTTTCTGAGGCCGCCGACGCCGAAGTCCAGGGCGAGGTTAATCGCAGGGAGGAAAACTACAACGACTGGGTGATCGACAACCACTCCAAAGGTACAGGGGCCCTCCACGCCCTCACCAAGCCTCCGCAAGGCTGGGCCCCTCGGCCCCAGGGTGCGACCCTCGACGGCTCCCCTCCTTCGCTCCAGGAGACCGTCAAAGCCTTGGTGAAGGAATGGACAGGGTACTGGGGCGCGGGGGCCCCCAAGCCCAATCGCAACATCACGAAGCACAAGGACCTGGTCTGGCCAGTCGAGCTGGGCGAGAGGCCACCCCGCCCATCGGCAAAGTAGGTCAGGACGGTCACCGGCAGCTTCAAGGGGGCGACGGGCTTTTCCTTCGACTCGCTGCGCCCTCGAGAACTGCAGGTGCTCGACGACGAGGGCATCGAGGGGCTGATCGACCTGTTGGTCAGCACCGAGGAGGGATGCGAGTGGCCCAACGCTGTCGCCAAGCTCGCCTTCATCCTCAAGACGGACGAAGGGCTTCGGCCCATCGCGCTGCTCAGCGCGCTTGTCCGCACACATGGGCGACTTCGCCGCGGCGTAGCGAAACGCTGGGAGGCGGAGCACAACAGGGACCACTGGTGGGCAAGCTCTGGACGCAGCTGCGACAGGGCTGTGCGGCAACAACAGGCCAGAGCAGAATGGGTGCACATGATGAGCGCGATGCACCAGCAGCACGATTGGGGTTCCGAGTCGATCCTTTTGGACTTGTGGAAGGCCTTCGAGCAGATCCTCCATCGCGAGCTCATCGGTGCTTGCCTGAAATACAACTTCCCCCTGTGGCT